GTGTACTACCTCTACACCAAAGATCATCAAAATCCGTTACCCCAAAGCCGTAGGCTCTCCTTGTGAGACCCCCAAAGGCCATGAGGACTTGAGCAACATTAAGTAAGAATGGCTTCATGAAAGGCTGCAGAAACAGCATCACAATGTCCAGCTCAACTTGAAAGCTCTTCTCAATTCTTCATCTCTACTTTCTCAAAAAAAATATTCAGTCATGCTTGATGGAAGAATTTCTAGTTAAATAATACTTACCATTAATAACTGGCTGGAAAACAGCAAGGCCACTGAAACGTTCTACAGCATAATCTAAAATGCATCCCCCTACACTGAAACAAGTAAGGTACATACATAATGTTATTAAATCAACAAAGTTTTAATTATTAAAATACTTTATAAAAATTAGTACCTAGAAATTAATACAGCACTAATAACTGGAATCCATCCACTGTAAAGAACTTTTTCTGTATATTTATTTCCTCGAGCAATAAAACCCCATAAAGGAATGAGTAGCATGAAGACGACCACTAAGGAAGGTGCTAGCCATAAATCTACATCTGAAAAAGTATGCATTATAACATATTAATAAAAATAAATAACATTGACATATTTTGAAAATTTGTAATAAAAACATCAATATATTATTGATGTTTTTATTACAAATTTTCATTTTTCAAATTTTTATTACAAATTTTCATTACAAAATAAACATGACAAATGGCTACCTATTCTTTGAAATAAAAGAGCACTGATTCCAGCAAGCAAACCTAGAGTTGTCATATCCCCCAAGGAAGCAGCTATTGGTGTAGATACATTGTCTGGATTGATTTTAAATTTACGAGCAAATACTACAATACCCATAGTCACTATACCTAAAAATAAATGAAATATTGATATATAAGTTTCATTGTCAAAATAAGATTAAAAAATTCATTAGACTAAAACAAAAAAATTACCTAAAGCAACACTTGCAATTGAAGCTGTAATTAATGCACTAGCACAGAGAAGAACAGCATGATTCATATCAAATTTTCTTGCATTAATCCAATCAACAACAATGGCAAATACAGATGCCAGAAATCCCACAACTATTGCTTGACACTGTAATGGTAATAATTATCATTAATAATTTGATTTGTCTTTTATATATACATACAGTAAAATCTTGTTAAGAGATTTTTGAAGAGACTATCTTGGGAAAATGTCTTAAGCTTTTTTAATCTAGGTATTTGACTACAGAAAAGGTACAATGAAATATAATAGCTATAGCATTTTAAAGTACTAATCTTGAGTGACCTGCTTCTTATTTTTATTGCAAGCTTATAAGATATAAGAGTCTAGGAAAAACATATAATATTTACGCCAATACATTATATAAAAATATCTTATATGTGTATAAAGATACTTACAGTATGATAAAAAGACACAGAACTAGTTGAAAAATAGAGAGATCAAATGGAGACCATCTATTTATGCTGATTTTGAAATCAATGTTAGTCAACTGTTTCTTCCTTCTAATTAATCATAGCAAGAAATTTTGGGAAGGAGTAATTTTCAAATTCAAATACAAAATTTTTAACNAAATCACATAAAACTCAAATATATTTTATTCTGCTAATTTTCAATTTAACATAGATGTATTGTAAAGAGTACACTAAATATCAAGTATATTAAATTCTTTACACACTTCTGTAACTGCACTTAAATGTTTAAACATTCCAAAAGAAAGTTTGTTATAGTAGAATCATTCTATTTTTCTGTTCCCGAGGAAGACCATTCAAAATGGACGAAAACATTTGAAATACAAATAAAAAGGCTGCATTTTAAGGTTTTTGCTTTGAGGTATGAATTAAATTCTTTGTAAAATATTTTCTTCAAGTACAGTACAATAAAGTAAATAATTGAATGACTCAGGATAAAAATAGCAAATCCCATTCAAAAGTAAGTTCAAGCCCATTTTCTTTTTTCTTGCCCAGCTAGCCATCAACTCGAAATAATTTATTCAAGTCTACAGTCTGTTTCAAAATTATAAACACACCCAACATTTTTCAACAACAACAACATTAAGTATAGTAATGTATTTATTATATTAGTATGTTGTTTACAACATCAATTTAAACATTTTCTGAAAGTTTTAGAGCAATCTGACAATTACAGAAAAAA